AGCATTTATTTGTTTCTAAATAAAATTGTCATAAGCATAAGTCACTTGCCCTGTAGTAGTTATTAAAAAGTTAATGGGGTTACCTGCGTTAGAATTAAGTGGGGATTAAATGATATTGAATATTTAATACCAGAAGATGTATATAGAAATGTTTATATGTATACCTTGTATGTGTGAGTTTTGTTGATCATACATATAAGTATATAAATCAGTTGTTATAAATAAGTATAAATTCACTTTTAAGAGCAATTTGCTTAAATTAACTGGAACGATACGGAAATTCTTTTAGTTTATGTCTATGTTTTGGTCTTTCCCAGTTCGTTTGAAATATATTTTAGAACAAACCTTTTGCATACATTTGTATTAGAAGATAATTTTTAATTTGAAATTTTTAAATGAACTTATTGATTAAAATATACATACAGAAAAGGCAACAAACTGTGGGTGTTTTTTTTTTTTTTTTAACAAAGTAAGCACACCTACATAACCATCACTCAGATCAATAAATAGAATATTTCCAGCACTGCAGAACCTTCCGTAATGTCCTTTTAGTCACAACCTCTTGTTCCCCCATAAATAACGATTCTCTATTCTTCCAACACCACTGATTACCTTTTCCTATAGGGAAAGCCATTTTTAATTTCCGCACATTATTTCCTTGGATAAATGAAGAAGGTGATAAGACTATAACATATCTTCAGACCATATTTTACATTTTTCTGTAAAGGTAATTTTGTGACTTGACAATAATAATTTGACTCTTAGAATCTAACTGGCAGCTTCTGGATATAATATAAACTACCTTTCAGAGGTTGAAGTCACTTCAGTTTATGTATAAATAGAAAGTATATTTAAGCTAGCATTGTAGATTATCTCCTTTGAAGAAATTTGCAGGTGAAAAGAAGTCCAGGCTTTTAAACATTAGCCATGGTGAGTGAAAGGTAACTTAGATTTTCGACTTTAATTGTTCAATGAATCTGAAGGGTCATATACCTTGAAAGTTTGATGAATGTATCTGATTTGCTTATTTATGTTTTAGACAAGGTATTGAAATGGATAAAGTGATGCAAGAATTGGGAAAATCACTGACAGATCAAGATGTAAATTCACTGGCTGCTCAGCATTTTGAATCCCAGCAAGTAAGTTATGTACAATGACTTTTAGTTACGCAGCTGCATTTTCTTGTACTTATTTATTTTTATTTTATTGTAAAAAGATTAACCAATTGGCTCACTGTCTCTTTTAGGACTTAGAGAATAAATGGTCAAATGAATTAAAACAATCAACTGCCATCCAAAAGCAAGAGTATCAGGAATGGGTGATAAAACTTCATCAAGACCTAAAAAACCCCAACAACAGCTCCCTCAGGTATTAACCATGTGTTGTTCTTATTCATGTAAAAATCCATTGTTAGTAATAGTTTACATTTATTGTAAAGTTAAACCTTTTTTCTTGTTGTTTTAAGTTGCCAATGAAAATTCAAGGTAATTTCGTGCTTTTTTTTTTTTTTTAACACCTTTTGCATTCTAGGCTTTATGTGGATTATTGGAAGGTGGGGGGCATGACTGGTTGGTTTGAAATAGTGATTTCTCCCCTACAACTTTAGCTTTATAAATCTTTTAGGTGCATATACCTACATACCTAAGTGCTGTTTTTATTTCTTTAAATTGGTTTCTGCTCAGTTCAGTAAACATTGGCAGAATGCCAAACCCTCTCTAAGCAGAGAAACAAAAAAGATGCTTGTCCATGTGCAGCTTATATTCAGAGATACCAAACTGTAAATAAAATAATATTGTGTAGAGTGATAGGTGTGGTAGTACAAGCATGTACAAGGCATATAAATAGTATGGAGGATTTTTCATAATTCATAGTTTGTGTGGCACCTAATAACCTAAACACATTGTGTTTGGCATATTGCCGTAGAGCTTCACTGTGCCCATGTAATGTCCTGGCCGTGTATGTGTATGTTTGAGAATTTCTTTCTTCTTTTAAATCCTAAAGTATATTCAGTTGGAAATATACTGAGTACAGTACAATAATCCTATTTCTAGATTATGCTAGTATATACTATTATTGTAAATATTTTAAAATAGCATTTTAATGTCAGTTCATGTTTTTTTTTTTTTTTTTTTTAATGTTGTATACCCAACTCCTTTTTAAGTGTTTAGCTCTTGACATTGGCACATAAAACATGCTCAGCAAATATTTATGGAATGGATGGATGGGCAGATGGATGGATTATCATTAAAGTTTCTACCTGATATCTACGTATTATAATCTTTCATTTGCCTTACTGTTTTCCCCAAACTGTTAGTTACAGTCTTCTAGGGACCATTCTAGATCCTTTACTTTCCAACCAACCTTTTAAAAATAACAATTGGATAGAATAGAATGGGGAGAAAATAAGAGTGTATCATGCATGAAGCTTTCTATAAATGAATGTGTGTTTTGAGCCAAAATGTAAAATATGTACTGTATATTATAGTAAAAAAAGTTGAAACCCTCTGATTTAAGGAAGCTGAGAAAGCCCATTGCTATAAAAGTTGTCCCTCACTTTGCTGCTATAGTTTCAGAAATTCAATCTATAGGATTATTTCCATTCTATAAATATTGACCTCTAGATGTTGTTGCTTTTAAAAACCAAATATTCCTAGGAAAGAATGTTTTTATTGTGACTTTTTAAATTTGCTTTCCTTTTTATAGATGTTTCTTTGGGCAGTAGAAACCTGTTTTCAACACAATTTTGTATGGAACCCCTATATAGGATTGATAAAAGTGGTATTTTATTTATATTTATTTGTTTTTACTTTTTTTTAAAGTCAGATCTATTGAGGGATAAATTACATAAAATAAAATGCATCTGTTTTAGGTGTACAGTTTGATGAATTTTGATAAACCTAGTCATAAAATCATCACTGCTGTCAAGACAGAGCATTTCCCTTTTACACCTTCATAGTTAATCCCATTTCCCCTCAGCCAGCCCCCGTCAACCTGTGTGATTTCTGTCACTGTAGTTTTGACTTTTTCAGAATGTTATGTAAATGGAGTCAAACTGTATGTAGCAGTTTGTATCTTGCTTTTTTTCACTTGGCATAATACTTTCGAGATTCATTCATGTAGTTCCATGTATCAGTGGTTCTTTCCTTTTTACTACTCAGTAGTATTGTGTTATCCATATGTTTATCCATTTACTTGGTGATGGACATTTGGAGTATTTCCAAATTTGGGCAATTTTAAATACAGCTGCTATGAACATTCATGTACAGATCTTTGTGTAGATGTGTTTTTATTTTTCTTGCATAAATATGCGATCCCCTTCGCATAGGAGTGGGATTGCTAGGTCATATGGTAAGTGTTCATTTAACTTCACAAGAAACTGATGGGTTATTTTCCAAAATGGCTGTACCATTTTGCATTTCCACCACCAGTGCATGAGGGTTCCAGATGCTCCACATCTTCATCAACACTTGGTATTGCTGTTTAACCATTCTAGTAGCTTTTGTAGTGGTATCTCATTATAGTTTTACTTTGCAATTTCTCTGATGACTAATTATATTGAACACTTTTTCATGGGCTGATTTTCCATCCATATCTCTCCTTTGTTTTATTAAATTATGAGAGTTCTTTATATATTCTGGATAAAAATCCTTCATCAAATATGTGTTTACAAATGTTTTCTCCCACTCTGTGGCTTGTCTTTTCATTTTCTTAATTAGTGTCATTCAAAGAGCAAAGATTTTCATTTTAATTAAATGCAGTTTATCAATTTTTCTATCAAAGACTTTGTTTTTTCGGAGTAGTTTGCAAATTGAAAGAAAGGCACCAAGATTTACCCCCTGACCCACACGTACATAGACTCCCCAATTATCAACATCCCCCAGCAAGGTGGTACATTTTTTACAACTGAGAACCTGTGTTGACACATTATAATCATCCAAGGTGAATAGTTTACGTTAGTGTTCACTCTTACCGTTGTATATTCTGTGGGTTTGGACAAATGTATAATGACATGAATCTAACATTGTTGTAGCATACGGAGTAGTTTTACTACCCTAAAAACCCTCTGTGCTCTGCCAATTTATCGATTTTTAAATGGTTTCTGTCTGATCTATCTTTGCCTAACTCATAATCACAAAGATTTTCTCTTATTTTCTTCTATACATTTCATAGCTTTAGGTTTTATGTGATACATTATTTCACATATGTGTGTATATGACATATCCACTACCATATATATGTATATATGTATGTATGTATGTTGGTCTGTAGTTTTTTTTTCTTATAATATCATCATTTGGTTTTGAAGTCAGACATGCTACCATTGCGTGATGAGGTCCTTTCATTTGGTTTTGATCTCAAAGTAATGATGGCATTATAAAATGAGTCGATCTGTGATCATCAATCTGATATGTTTTGATTTCTTGTATTTCCATTTGTTTTCCCTCTTTACTGAAATCTCTGTCTGTCCTGTGTGTTGTCCACCTTTTCTACCAGATCTTTTAACATATTAATCATACTTATTTGAAAATCCCCTCTACTTTTAGTCCCAATATCTGTGTCATCTCTAAATCTGTTTCTGTTGATTGCTTTATCTCTTGACAGTAGATTGGGGTTTTGTGGGGGTGCACTTTGTTTTTTGGTCTTTTTGTTTGTTTGCTTTTGTTTTTTTTGTTTTTGTTTTTTGTTTATTTATTTATTTATTTATTTTTTTTTTTTGCTTTTCTGTGTGTCTCTTCTATTTCTTCTTCCTTCTTCTTCCTTCTTTCTTCTTCTTCTTTTTAACTGAATGCTGGATATTGTGGGTATTAAAAATGAAGAGACTAAGGTAAATAGTATTTATGTCCAGAAATGAACAGGCCATTAATATGAAGATTGTGCAAATCATATCAGTAGTCGAGCTAAGTTTGATTTTTATTATATCTAGCAGTACCTTCAGTATACCACAGGCTTCATTTTCTACAATTGTAGGTTGATGCTACTTTGTGGGACTTGGGCGTTCTAGAGGGTTTTTTCTGTCACTCTGCTTCATCCTAAGCTTTCTTTGCATGCCTGTGCCGCAGAGTCGAGTCTCTCTCTATGATGTTGCTCCACTTTCCAGCAACAGACTATTGTTGCTTGTTTCTTGGTGCTACGCTCATATTTGGGAGCTAGGGGAAGGTCACTTTGTCTAACCTTTGTCCAGCTCTGAGGCCTTTGTCCTGCTCCCGTCTTTGGCAAGCTGCGTGTATATGGGCCTTGGATATGGGACGTACTCAGCATTTCTACCTGTGCCCTCCAGAGGGCTCTCTTGTCTCCTGCCCCAAGTCTTTTCCTGGAAATACCTGGTGGAGGCCAGTGGAAAAGAGTTAGCAAGTGCATGTGCCTGTGGCTCCTAACTGTTTTAAATTGATATGCGAGCCCACACTTGGCCTTTAAGAATCTGTTAAAATTTTAGCTGATTTGTTTTTACCCCCGTGTATGACGACAACCTATTTCAGCCATGCTCTACTAAAGTTGAAACTTTTTGTGTGTCCTGTCGCTCCTTGGAGGGGCGTGTCACACTTTGGAATTCAGTTTATTTGGTTGCTTTGTTACCTCAAATCTCCGTTGGACTCCAACAGAGATTTTATAGATTACCTGGCTTTTTATCGTTGTTGGGAACAATGTTCTCTTAGTTTTCTACATCCTAAGATGAGGATTTTTATTAATACAAATTTATTTGTAAGTTTAAATTTACCATATTTACTGTGGAACTCAGTCATTAAGACTAATGAGGCTGTTGGGATTAACCCGCAGAATTTAGTCCGTGAAGCGGATGACTGTTGTGGACTTGTGTCATCTTCAGCTTACCGTGAGATTTGAATTGGACGATTTACAATTATCAGTCCTCTGTGGAAACCTTTTTAGGAAGTAAGAGCAGAACAAAGAGAGAGGTTGTTTAATGGGAGGAGAATGTTGCAGGTAAAAAAAAAAAAAA